ACTGCCTCGGAAACCCAAGGAGGGGTCGCTATGAGTCGGGGCCGACTCGACGGCACATAACAACAACAACAACAACATGGTAGTCCTATCCTATTTTTACCCATTAAATTTCAAGTTAGGGATAAAAAAGCAAAGGAAATAAATTTTACAAAACAGTAAGAGAAATTATATGAAGAGTATAAAAAGGAAAATAACATAGAGAGTAAAAGGTTATAACAGAAATTAAGACTTTTAGAGAAAAAAAGTAAACTAGCTGAAACTAAACAAGGTGAAAAATTACAGAAAATAATGTAAGTCAGAATAGAGGAAAATTAAAATGTAAAAATCAGGACCTGAGACAGCAAGTAAAATAGTAGAAAAGGTTAAAATCAATTAAAAAAATATGCCAAAGATAAAGAAAGTAGAGACTGTATACAAGATTCAACTTAAAGGAGCAATCCACTTGTCCTTACTTAACCATGTCTCACTATCCAACGCGTCTGTAAGTGAGGAGTGGGTATAAGAAGGAACTCTGACCTGCAAACACACACATAAACATATGCACATTTGTGGAAGTATTTCTGAGAGTTAAATTTCTATAAGTGGAATTTCAGTGTTAAAAGACAAATTGTGGTAGAAACTGGTAAGTTGTGATTCAGAAGTGGTAAACGTTGATATTCTTACCAAGAGTATATGACTACTCATTTACCTCCACTGTCACCAACACCAGGTATTTATACTTTAAAATATTTTTGTCAATTTGTTATTTTCTTATAAATTTCAAGAAATCTTTATGAATTATTAGAAATAGCTAATATTTATTCAGACTAACCAAGTCCCAGGCACTGCTCTACATGATTTATGGATATGCACTCCCTGGATCCCCCACACCCTTCTGAGGGCCCACGTTAGTCCCATTTTACAGATGGGAGATCTGAGGCACAGAGTTGTTAAGGAGCTTGCCAGCCAGTGAGCGGCAGAGCTGGAAGCAAACCCAGAAATACTGGCTTCAGAACTTGTGCTCTTAACCACTGTAGTGTCAACTCTGTTTCCAGCATTATTTGAAGACTGGAAGATTGCAAAGGATGCAAGGTGACCTTTAATTTTTAGCCTTAGGCATTGTGTGACATGCAAGTATTTTTCAAATTAGTATGCATCACTTACATAATTGAATATAACACAAAGTGGAGGAAAGAAGCTACTACAAGATCAACTTTTAGAAAGAGTCAAAAGTAATAAAAACAACAATAAAACAATATAAAGTGAGAATATCCTCAATATAAATAAAGAGAAAAAAATAAAAGAAGTGAGAACTGATTAGACAGGGTTTTGGGATAGAAAATACCTTCCCATAGTGCAGTGTTGTGAGTCTTTTGTTATTTCACATTTTTAGCTTTTAAATTTGTTTCCTGTAAACTTTTCTCCTTTTTTTTCTTCTTCAGTTCTCCATCTAAATTCTTTCTTAAAATAGTGAAGCTATGGAAAAATAAAACAATCTATTTCTTATCTGTTTGCATATTGTTGTTGTTGTCATTGTTGTTAGGTGTCGTTGAGTCTCCTCCAACTCATAGAAACGCTATGCACACCAGAACGAAACACTACCCAGTCCTGTGTCAGCCTCACAATCTTTGCTATACCTGAACCCATCGTTGCAGCCACTGGGTCAATCCATCCATTGAGGGCCTTCCCTTTCTTCATTGACCCTCACCTTCACCAAGCATGATATCCTTCTCCAGAGGATGGTCCCTCTAACAACATGACCAAAGTAGGTGAGACAAAGTCTGGTCATTGTTGCTTCCAAGGAGCATTCCAGCTGCACTTCTTCCAGGACAAATTTGTTAAGTATTTTAGCAGTCCATGGTACCTTCAGCATTCTTCAACAGCACCACAACTCAAATGCATGGACTCTTCTTCAGTCTTCCTTATTCATTGTCTAGCTCTCACATGCATATGAGGCGACTGAAAATACCACAGCTTGGGTTAGGTTCACCTTAGTCTTCAAGGAGACATCTTTGCTCATCATCACTTGAAAAAAGTCTTTTGCAGCAGATTTGCCAAATGCAATATGTTGTCTGATGCCTTGACTGATGCTTCCATTGGTGTTGATTGTAGAACCAAGTAATATGAAATCCATGACAACTTCAATCTTTTCTCCATTCACCATGAAGCTGTTTATTGAATCAGTTGTGAGGATTTTTGTATTCTTTGTATTGAGGTGTAATCCATACTGCAGACTTTAATCTTCATCAGTAAGTGCTTCAATTCATCCTCATTTTCAGCAAGCAAAGTTGTTTCATCTGCATATGGCAAGTTGTTAATGAATCTTCCTCCAATCCTGATACCACATTCTTCCTCAGATAGTCCCAGCTTCTCAGATTATTTGCTCTGCATACAAATTGAATAAGTATGGGGAAAGAATACAACCCTGACACACTCCCTTCTTGATTTTGAACCATGCAGTATCCCCTTGTTCTGTTCCAATGACAGCCTCCTTGTCTATGTACAGGTTCCTCATGAGTACAATCAAGTGTTTGGGAATTCCCATTCTTCTCAATGTTATCCATAATCTGTCATGAACCACACAATCAAATGCTTTTGCATAGTCAATAAAATACAAGTAAACACCTTTCTGGTATTCTTTGCTTTCAGCTAAGATCCATCTGACATCAGCAATGATATCCCTCATTCCATGTCTTCTCCTGAATCCAGCTTGCATTTCTGGAAGTTCTCTGTCAATCTGCTGCTGCAACCATTTTTGAATTATCTTCAGTAAGATTTTACTTGTGTGTGATATTGTTTGATAATTTCCACATTCTGTGGGATCACCTTTCTTTGGAATGGGTTCAAATATGGATCTCTTCCAGTCAGTTGACCAGGTACCTGTCTTCCAAATCTCTTGCCATAGCTGAGTGAGTGCCTGCAGCGGGGCATCTGTTTGTTGAAACATCTCAGTGGATATTCCGTCAATTCCTAGACCCTTGTTCTTCAGCAATTCCTTCAGTGCAGCTTCGACTTCTTCCTTCAATGCCATTGGTTCTTGATATATGCTACCTCCTGAAATGGATGAAGATAGACCTCTTTTTTGGTACAGTGACACTGTGTATTTCATGTTCTTTGGATGCTTCCTGCATCATTCAATATTTTGCCCTTAGAATCTTTCAATATTGCAACTTGAGGCTTACATTTTTTCTTCAGTTCTTTCATCTTGTAAAATGCCACGTTCTTACCTTTTGGTTTTCTAACTCCAGGTCTTTGCATATTTCATTGTATAATTGGCTTTGTCTGCTCGAGCTGCTCTTTGAGATCTTCTGGATTTATCTTGTTTTATCTTCTCATTTCTTCCATTTGCTTCAGCTACCACCCAGAAGTACCTTGGAAGAAAGGCCTGGCAATATCCTTGTGAAAAATCAGCCATTGTAAATTTTGTGGAGCACAGTTCTACTTTACCATGCACACACACACACATACACTGTGTTTTGGTTTCTTGTTTTGCTTTGTTTGAACTGTCACCGAGGGAATCAGTGGCATCAGAGTGGGTGCCTGCACTCTTTTCTGAGCACTGATCTGTCAGAGTTCATGGCACAGCTCAGGGCTCATTTGCCCAGCAGCCCTGGGCAATCCCACAGGGGCCAGAGCCTCACCAGTAGTGCCTGCGTCTCCACACCAAACCAGGCCGTCAGCCATGGAGCCCAGCAGGGTGTCCTCCAGGGTGAATATTTCTTGCTGGACCTTTGTGTACTGATGGGCCAGGGCATTCGTTCTGCTCCACAAGAGGGTCTAAGGAAGAATAAGCACAATTATTATTGAAATCAACGGGATAGGTGAAAAAATAATCTACCTTTTTGTAAATGAAAGAATCCAGAAAACATCAGAATAATTTACATGTAGTAAAGCATCAGTATTGTTTTGTGCATCATTGCATTGTGTGTGGGTGCATATGGAGTGTGCTTATGTGTTTATGTGTGTAGAGTGTGTGTATTCTGTGTGTGTGTAAAAGAGAGAGGGAGAGAGAGCATGCAAGTGTATTGGAGTGTGCTGTTATGTGTGCGTGTGTAAAAGAGAAAGACAGTGTATGTGTGTGCATATGTGTGGAGTGGTGTTGTTGTTGTCAGGTGATGTCATGCAGACCCTGACTCATAGCGACCACAGTAAGTACAACAGAAAGAAACAATTCTTAGTCCTGCGCCAGCCTCACAATCCTCGCTATACTTGAACCCATCACTGCAGCCACTGTGTCAGTCCATCTTGTTGAGGGCTTTCCCCTTTTACACTGACCCTCCACTTTACCAAGCATGATATCCTTCTCCAGGGACTGGCCCCTTCTGACAACATGAGTAAAGTAGGTGAGGCAAAGTCTGGCCATTCTCGCTTCTAAGGAGCGTTCCAGCTGCACTTTTTCAGGACAGATTTGTTGGTTCTTCTGGCAGTCCGTGCTGTTTTCAGTATTCTTCGCCAGCACCACAACTCAAAAGCATCAATTCTTCTTTGGTCTTCCTTATTCATCTTCCAGCTCTCACATGCATTATGCATATGAGGCGAGTGAAAACACCATGGCTTGGGTTATGTGCATATCTGTGTTGCATTTGTGTGTGGAGTATGTTCCATGTGTATGTAAAACAGACTGTGTGTGTGTATATGTTGAGTGTGCTTTGTGTGTGTGTGTAAAAGAGAGGCAGAGAGAGACAGAAAGAGGAAGAGAGAGAGAGTGTGTGTGTATGTCTGGAATGTGTTTGTGTATGTGTATCTTCTAGGTCACAATACAAAATGAACTTAAGAATCTGGGTTGCAATCAAGAAGGTCTGAAAGTCACTGATCAACTTTATAATAAACCTGAAATCCAACCACATGTGGAGGAGGCATTCTGGAGTTCCTAAATTCCCAAGATAACTTGAAGAAAAAAAAGTCTCTCTGCCGTATTCTGGGAGAGGTGCTCTTCGATTCTTATAAAGCTCCTTGGCCCTCTCTCCTTCCCCTAAACCTCCCCCCCCGACACACACACAAACAAAACAGAGCTAGCACAGTGGATTTTTCTCAGGGTCCCTCTTAAAAGTACAGAAGGACAAATTTCAGAATAGGATTCTCCTCCAGGAACCTCTTCATTATTCATAGAGACAGTGGTGGGTAGCCGCTTACAGCCCAGGCCTGGAGTCAAACTGTCTTCCTGAAGTCTCCCAGCACCATTCATTAGCTGACTTTCAGCAACACTAAGCCTCACTTTCCTCATCTATAGAACGGTGATGATGATAATGATTCCAAACTCACAGGATGATGGGGAGATTAAATGAGATAATGCAGATGAATTGCTTAGCACAGTGTGGATAGTAGTGTCATGTATTTAAATGTTCATCTAGGCTATTATGTACCAAGCACCTGCTCTTTGCAGGGCACTGTGCCTGCTACACCAAGGAGGATGCTAATTACTCCAGCTCACTGACAATGGGAAGAGAGGCTGCAATGTGAGGATGAATGCAAGGGCTTCTCCATGGCAATTTGAGCACACTGAATTCCACGTTAAGCACTGACTTTAAAAAGATGCACTCTACTACATCTTTTCCAGTATATTCAATATATGAAAACTCGGGCCACTCTAGCTACAAATCATATAGCCATCCTTTGTGTTTCAACCAGTCACTTTCTAGCCTGCTGACCAATCACTGGCCACCTAAAATAAGCAACCTGAGCTTTCTCACTGGTGAAGTGGGGATGCTGACACCCGACGTGTCCATTTCACAGGATGGCTGTGAAGACCTGGTAAAATAATGGTTAATAAACCTGAACCTTTGCCTTTGAGTTGGTACTGACTCCTGGTGACACCACATACTACAGAGTACAACTGTTCATGGGAGCTTCTTGGTGATGGTCTTTACAGACCCTTCTTCCGTTGTGCCACTGGGTGGGTTCAAACTGCCAACCTTTAAGGGAGCAGCTGATGGCAAACCACTTGCACCCCCAGGATCCTACAGATAATGGTGCCGTCAGGTTGGTTCTAACGCATAACAAGCCTATGCACAACCGAACGAAGCGCTGCCCCGTGCTGCCCCACCCTCGCAATCCTTGCTGTGTCTGAGCCCGTTGTTGGAGCCACTGTGTCAGTCCACCTAATTGAGGGGCTTCCTCCATTCACTGACCCTCCATTTAATCTGTATGATAATAGTTGGGAGACGACTGTCTAAACGAAAAACATAAACTGCAAATGCAAATTGGCATTGTTATTATGATTATTATCAAAAACCAGAGAAAAGTTTTGTGCCTATGTAAGTTTGGATTTTTTTTTTTGTTTCATTGTTTGTGGTGTGTTTGGCGTTAGACTTGTTTTGTCTGACTTTTGCCCAATTCTCCCTTCCTCTTTCCATGTCCCCATTTCTCTTTCTCTTACCGACCTTCCCCAAATGTCCTAATCCCTGGTCCCCAGTGGCCCCACAAACACCATCCTTTTCTCAACCACACCCCCAACCTAATGTCTAACTCAAAAGCATCAATTCTTCTTCGGTCTTCCTTACTCATCATCCAGCTCTCATGTGCATATGAGGCAAGTGACAACACCATGGCTTGGGTTATGTGCTTATCTGTGTTGCATTTGTGTGTGGAGTATGCTCCATGTGTATGTAAAACAGACTGTGTGTGTGTGTATGTGTTGCATGTGCTTTGTGTGTGTGTAAAAGAGAGGGAGAAAGAGAAGAAAGGGGTAGAGAGAGAGAGAGAGAGAGAGTGTGTGTGTGTGTCTAGTCAACATCCTAGTCAACATCTGGTCCTGTAATCTCTTCCCTCTGACTTTCATCCTCAGTTTTAAAATCACTCATTTGAACCAGTTACCTTGTTGCAAGGTAAAGTTTGATTGGCCAACTTCACTAGTGGTTGGTAGTCTTCTTCTGTAATGTTGCAAGGGTTCTTGGTAAGAAATGCATTTTTGAACACATTCCATATCTTCTGGCAGTCCCTGTCTCGGTGAATAAAATAAAACATGGATAATTAGATTTTAAACATATTTTTGGAGAATAATTCCAAAAAATTCTCTCTTGTATGAAGCATCTACTGTGTGACAGATAGTTAATGTACTTCATCTCATGTGTACAACATTTTTATGCGACGAGCCTTAGCCTCCCATCTTCACAGACGAAGCCACAGCAGCCCAGTGAGTGGCACAGATTTCCCTAGCTCCACAATTGGGAAAGGGGAAGAGTGAAGATTCAGATCTGTGTCTGTCTGATGCCAGGGCTAAAGGGCCAGTTGAACATCAGTTACTCAAGTATTAAATAAAATGGAGAAGACTATATAAAGACAATTAGTTTTCTCTTTCTCGCCTTACATGCTGCTTAAAAATATGTCATGATTACTGCTGCTTTCATACAGGGGTAGTGGTAGAATTCACACCTTACATGTTCAGTTCCTAGATAAGGCACTTTATACCTTGTTATAGGAGCTCTGGTAGCATAGTGGCTAAGGCACTTGACTGCTAACCAGAAGGCTGACGGTTCAAATCCACCAGCCACTCCTCGGAAGGAAGATGGGGCAATCTACTTCCGTAGTGATACTGCCTTGGAAACCCAAGGAGGGGTCGCTATGAGTCGGGGCTGACTCGACGGCACATAATAACAACAACAACATACCTTGTTATGATACTTAGGACATTTTAGTGTAGTTTCCAGACTAATAGAGACCCTGAAGAAAGGCTTAGCAATCTACTTCTGAAAATCAGCCGGTAAGAACCGTCCGGATCACTATGGTCCGACCTGCACCCACTTGTGGGGGCCAGGAAGCACTCTGTTCCATTGTACATGAGGTCACATAAGCTGGTGCCAACTCAACAGCAGCTAACCACAACGACAACTGCCCTCAGAAAAACCCAAAGGCTTCAGCCTGACCTCTCCCTGAATCTGCCCCTGCCCCCCCCCACCTTTGCCTATACTTTCCCCATTGCCTGGGGTGGGTTCTCCCCATTATCTGTCTACTGAAATCCCACCCACACTTCATGGCCTTATGACCTTATGACCTCATCCTGGAGTGAGAAGGGGATGGGGGCTGGGTCTGCTGCTTGCTCAGGAGACCTCTGGGCCCATGTGCCTCTTGTTCTGAGTCTCCCAGCACTGAGGGATGCAGGAATGTGAGGTTCTAATCTATAGCTGAATGTAAGGGCTTGGTAAGTCATAAAAAACCAAACTCAAAGCCCACCTTCCTCAGAGAATTGTCTCATTTCTCTAAGGAAGTGTGAGTCAGCTCCCTTACACTCTGCCTCCAAGTCACTGTGCCTCTAAGGAGGGTTAGCTGGGTCCCGGCTTATTTCCCTAGACTGTGAATGCCTTGAGGCCAGGACCATGACTAGTTCATCATCTATCTCCCCCTATAGTTCCTTATAATGTTTGTAGATTAAATGGGAGATTGTGTCTCGTTCATACAGCATTCAAACCCTAACATACATAAGATTAATGGGGGAAGATCTCACTTCCAGAACCAGTTGTCACTGAGTTGATTCCAACTCACGGTGACCTATGTGGGTCAGAGAAGAACTTGCTCTGTAGGTTTTTCAATGGCTGGTTTTGCAACAGTAGACTTCCAGGCCTTTCTTCTGAGGTGCCTTGGGGTGGACACGACCCTCCAGCCTTTCAGTTCGCAGACAAACATGTTAACCATTTGCACCACCCAGCGACTCCTGTCAGAGAAAAGACCCTCCAAAAATCTGTTCCTTCATGAAAGTAATGAGAAGACTGGCAAAGGCATCAAAATCAACTTTTCAGAATTCTGTGGATGCCCTAAAGGCTTACAACAATCTGAGGAGTGTTTATTCCAGAAAAAGAGCTGTATCTCCATCAGAATAGTGAGCTTTTATGGCATTTGTTGTTGTTGTTGTTATGTGCTGTCGAGTCGGTCACTACTCATAACGACCCCTCCTTGGGTTTCTGAGGCAGTATCACTACGGAAGTAGATTGCCCAACCTTCCTTCCGAGGAGTGGCTGGTGGGTTTGAACCGCCAGCCTTCTGGTTAGCAGTCAAGTGCCTTAGGCACTACGCTACCATAATTCCATCTCCCTTTTCCCAGCTCCAAGGAAAGCTCAAGAGCCAACAGCCCCACAACTCAGAGCTGTGGAAACCAGCAACCTAGCAACTGCTAAAGGAGGCAGGTTTTGTCCTTCCCACAAGCCCCATCCCTAGAGAACTGTCAGTATTTGACGTGTCTGGCAGCTCATTGAAAAGCCTAATTCTCAGGGCTTGTTTTCATATGAACTGACTCAGAGCTCCTTCTGTGTGAACCATTTTACCCCTACTGTTGAAATTAATTAATGCCGATTATTTAACTACTGAGTCTCCGGGTGGCACAAATGGTTAAGCACTCAAATACTAACTAGCCAGAAGTTTGACAGGTTGACTCCCATCTGGAGGCACCTTGGAAGACAGGCCTGGTGACCTGCTTCCAAGAGGTTACAGCCTTGAAAACCCTATGGAGCAACTGGACTCTACACACATAGGGTCACCACGAGGTGGAACTGACTGCAATTAATAACGTTTAACACTGCAGGTGTGTGAGGCAAATTTATCCGTTGGGTCTAACCTAAGACTGCCAAAAAAATTAAAAAGGAAAACTAGGGCATCAGATGTCCACAGGTGGCTTTGAAGAGCTCTGACATATTCCTGGGATGGCCATATACATGCACTGGGCTGTGTGCACTCCCAAAATTGGTTTTATGCCCAGGAATGGCCTGAGAAAACTCTTGTCCCTGACTGAACCTGCAGCTCTGCTAAGGTAGAGTTCTAAACTGCCTGCTAGAGCATTGAAGTCAGATCCCAATGGACACACAGCCCCTCATGAAAGGCTGAAAACTTACTGGCTTAAAGCATTTAGGTAAACCCTGTCCAGTCATTAGCTGACCATAAGCTAACTGAGCAGAAACTTCAGTGAGTCTCTATGTGTGAGACAGAGGATATACAGTCTTTACAGAATTAGTCCAGGAAGGTCACTAAACAAATAGCAATAACAAACAGCAGCAACAAGCCCTGAGGGGAGGGGGGACTTAATTTCTAGAGCTGACATATAACTTTATTTTACATGTGCAGTTTTAAAAAAATTATGAGTCTCACAAACAAACAGCAAAGTATAGTTTATCTATAGGAACAAGAGCAATCAATAGACACTGTTCTTGAGGAAGCACAGATGTTGGACTTACCAGACAAACAGCTTACATTGGGTATCACAAATATCTTCAAGTATCTCGAGGAAGACAAATCTAAAGACTTAAAGGAAACTATGAGAAACAATGCCCCATACTATAGATAAGACCAATTAACAGACAGAAATTGTCTAAAAAACCAACTAGAAATTCAGGAATTGAAAAGTAAAATAACTGAAATGAAAATTTCACTGGAAAAGCTCAATAGCAGATTGCAAATGGCAGAAGAAATAATCATGAACTTTAACACAGGTCAGTAATACTTTGTCCATAGAAGGTTTGTTAAGATGAAATGAGGTAGAACATGACATTGTTCCTGTTTCCTGTCTTTGCTAGGTGTACCTCTTCCCCAGTCTGCAGAGAAATTTGAACTTCACCCCCACTTGCCTTCAAAGGCTATGCCAGGAAACCATTATTGACCTGGTTTTCTCCATGGATTATATACTTAAGAAAAAATGTTATTACATTATGTTCTTCATTCAATCAAAATTTATGAGGCACCAACATGGGCTGTTAAGACAAAAGGTGCTTGGCATCTATTCCCCTTTAGGGGATCATATTTTAATTCCATTAATTTAATGCAGTAGCTTTCTCAGGAAATTCCTGTCCCAGATATCAACTTCCCCATAAAACTCTTTTACCTCTTTCCCTACCTGCATGTGCAGGACTTAAAGCAGTCAAAACAGAAAAGAAAGAGGGAAAAAAAGGCTTTTGTTAAATAGCTCCTTCCCAGAAGCGGAGAGGCCAAGCCATCTGACTTGGCCATAATGATGGAACTAAATGGCCACCAGGGTCCAACTGGGCAGGCCTTGCACAATTAGCAAATGAATCAAGAGGTAATAAACAGTATTATTTTGAACTGCTCGAGTATAATTCCACAACTTTAAGAACTTAAAGGATTGGGATGATGCTGCATGACCAGGCAGTGTTTTTTGTTCTGTTGGACATAGGGGTGCTATGATTGGAGCCAACTGGATGGCACCCAATGACAACAACAAGACCCTAAAACCTGAGTGTCTTTAAAGACTTGCCATCCAAAGAAAAGTGCTAATATCACACAAGCCACCACAGGTATTTCCTCCTGGTGCTCATACCCATTCTCTCTTCATTCTTATTACCATTGAAAACTTGCCCCAGTCTTCTTCATGATTGCTGATGACGTGGCACCTTTAAGAAAATCTGGGCTTCCCTAATATGCCATGTCAGTGCCTAAGGCATCTGACTGCTAACCAGAAGGCTAGTGGTTCAAACCCACCAGCCACTCTTCAGAAGGAAGTTTAAGCAATTGACTTTTGTAGTGATACCGCCTTGGAAACCCAAGGAAGGGTCACTATGAGTTGGATCTGACTCAACAGCAGTGAGTTTGGTTTTTGGCTTTTGATTTTTAAGTGAGATGCCTGAGTGGCCCAACTGATTAAACACTTCATTACTAGCCAAAAGGTTGGTGGTTCAAACACACCCAGAGGGTCCTCGAGAGAAATGAAGGAGATCTGTACAGATACCACCCATTGAAGATCTGTACAGGTACCAAGTTGACAAGGGGTGGAATTGTGGTGGTTAAGATTGTGTGTCAACGTGGCTGGGCCTGGTTGAGTGGCTGGACAGCTGAATGTAGTATTCCCCATGATGAGACTGGCAATCAACTCCATAGTGGGATCTACCACAAGCAACTGAGTAGCTGCCTTTGGGATATGATCTGCTTCCTGAATATAAGGAGAAGCCTTGGGGACAGTCTCTAGCCTATGGCATGCATGAACCCTGCATGTAGCCATGTCAT